TGTTTCTGCAGTCATTTACTGGTGACAGTTCTAATAAGAAGTACAGGCAGTTAAGGCTGGTCTGCTGAGGTTGTGAAAACAATTATATGGCCAGTTGGCAAAATACTCTAATTATAAAACAATGCCACATTTCCTGACTGTATATTTTGTTCTAGTTTCTAAATAGCCAGCACTTCAATAATTAGAAATACAAACACACACTGTTTTGCTTTAGATCAACTTCTGTTTAATTGGTCACAACCCAAAAGAAAGAGAAAACGAAAGGTTCTTTAACAATCTGCAGTCATCTTAACATCATATGCTTCATCCATCACAAGAAAGCAAATCTGAAGGTTATTTCCCTCTGACTAATAATAATGCCAGACTGTATAGGGACATCGCTTTTGTGCTTCTTCTAAAACAGTGTCATTGTTTCTCCTCATTAGAATCATTCGTGGCCATTTGGATATGAAAACGTGTCATGCTCCAGAGCAGGGGTGGGCAATTATTTTTTCCATGGGGCCACATGAGAAACTGAAAATATTGTGGAGGGCCGGGCCACAAGGCTGAACTCAATTCTGCATAATATTAATTGTATTTCTTTATAAAAAGCAGTAAATAGCATTGTTTTTGACAAGCTGGTAAGAGTATATGTTATAGTTAAGCAATGAAAAAGTGAGGTTGCCTTACAAAAAAATGTCATTTATTAAATCAAATTTCCCAAAACAATGGTAAACAAAATGAACGTTTTTCACCATTTGTGACTCATATTAGTGAACATTTTCAGTCACATTCACTCAAACACATTTTGAGTTTCATTTACTGTTGGAAAGAGGTTCTTAGCATTCTAAAGACATCACAATATTGTCTTTGTACTCCAAATATTAAGCAAGATACATCATATTGAACTGTCACTAAACATCACTGAACTGTGATTTTGAGAAAAAGGCTTCCAAAGAAAGTGTCCCAGTTCACTGCTAGTTGGTGCCTTTACATGCCAACATTTGTAGTCTAACCACCTCATTTGGTGTTTTTAAGTTCTCTTTTCTTGTTCAGTGAGAGAAATCTAGTCTCTGCTGGGCTTTAACGAGTGCATCAAAGTCAGGTTGAATGTCTGAGGTGGCGAAGCACAGCTGACAGATGATCATCAGTGAGAGAGGATCTATACCTGGATTTCGTAAACTTCATAATTGAAAATGTTTGTTCACATATGTATGCGTGTCCATGCACTCGTTTACCTCCGTGAACAGATCGCTCCCTGTCGTCGTCCCTTTCATCGACCGCATTGCTGCCAGCTCCTCCGTAATCTTGAAGTCCGGTGTTATCCCGCGGACGAATATGAGTAACTGGGCTGTGTCGCGGACATCACAGCTCTCGTCCAAAGCCAAGGAGAAAAAGTCGTAACTTGCCACTTCACGTTGCAGCTGAAGCTCCAGATTCCCCGCAATGTCCTCGATCCTTCTAGTCACGGTTCGCCTGGACAGCGGGACTTGCTCAAATGCGGCTTTTTTTTCAGGGCATATTAGTGCTGCAGAGTCCACCAAGCACTCTTTGACAAACTCCCCCTCCGAGAACGGCTTACTGTTTTTAGCAATTTTGTGGGATATCACAAAGCTGGTCATGGTTGCTGCATCACTGGATGTGTGAAGCTTGGTAAAAAAGCCTTGCTGCTTTTGCAGCTTAGCTAGCAAAGCTTCCGATGTCCGCGCCCTTTCAGCGTCAGTCAAGTTTTTATATTTCTCCGCGTGTTTCGTCTCGTAATGTCGACTCACATTGTACTCCTTAAACACGGCGATCTGCTCCCCGCAAACTAAACACACGGTTTTACCTCCGACTTCAGTAAATAAATACTTAGCAGTCCAATTTTTGTTGAAAACCCTGCATTCAGCATCTACCTTTCTTTTTTTAGCGGACATTTTTTTGAGGGCTAAAGTCGTCTTGTGACAAGGATCCAATAATGTGCACGTCTTGATATACGTATTGCGTCATTATGCACGTGAATAAAAAACAACTTCAAAATAAAAGCAATGCAGCTTTAGTCCATGCATGAGGTAAAGTTAGAAAATATGTTTATTTTGTAATTTCCAATTAGCCTTACACGGGCCGGTCAGAGTCAACCAAAGGGCCGTATGTGGCCCGGGGGCCGTACGATGCCCAGGTCTGCTCCAGAGTATTCCGGGTCTCAATCTACTCACGTTGTTGAGTTGAGTCAAAGCCAGCTGAAGTTGAGTGAGAGGAGTGATGAAGCGCTGAACTGAAACATGTCATTTAGAAGTGGAGAATGATGTCAGCACCATTCTGTCAGGAGCAGGTATACTTAGAAGTAATCGTTCCTACTCATTCTGCATGAATTCTTGTAGCTCTGAAGCACACGCACTATGATGTGAGTATGATTCAAAGTAAAGACATGGTGGAGAGGATGGGTGATGGTGCTACAGTGACTCCTGTTGGTATAATGCAGATGGAGCTTCAGGTGGTCCTAACAACAAGTTTACACAACATGTCTAAGGTTCAATTCCCCAACTTGATTTAGAAAATCTGTAGTTCAAAAGCAGAAAGGAGTTACTGATAACATCACACACACTTAGGCAAGGATTTATGAAGGACTTTAAAGATAGGCTAACAACCAATAAAGATTAAAAACATTATTTACTAACCAGTATTAAATCCATTAGTGAGAGCTATATTCTTTATAAAGGATGGTGACACATAACTGCCATTATGCTAAGGTTTCAGAAGAATACCTTCATTCTTTCATCAATTTTTCTCTTACAACCTTTGTTGATTGGATGTATTTCTCATAGACTGTCAGAACGACATCAAACTCTTGCACATGGATCACAGCCTTTATGCTACAACACTTCCTGTTCAACAAGTCCAGGCCTAAGACCCACCATTTCTCTCTTTCACTTCTGCTAAACACATGCCTATTCTTTGCTTTGTCTATCACGTCAGTCAAAGATCAATCTATCTGACTGGTGGTAGTTGCGAAAACTCAGATTGTGAGCAGGAAGTTGGGCGAAACCTTCTCAAGTGCATATCTATGAGCACTGAAAGGAGAAAGGATTTAAAAGCACCTTTTCTATCAGAAATGATAAGGGACAGGAATGCTGCTGAGATCTGTGGACATGATACACATTCCTAATGAAGTCCATGCACACACACACACCTGTGCCAAAAAGGTCAGTTATTATTATTCCATGGATTTTGGATGATAATGAACAGCTGAAGCCAGGAAACTCAAAACAAGGTTATAAATAATAACCGTCTTCTTGGTGTTGATGTGGGCCACATTAACAGAGGCTGTACGGCTCCAATAAATAACCTCTACAGGTAAAAGTCCCTCCTCACACAAAATGTGATGAGTTCTGTCCATTCAGGAAGCAGAGTGGATTAATGTCCAACATGTGTTTGCAGCAATGATGGCATTTGAGTGAGACAAACATCCTGATATGGTGGCAGCAGCCCTGAATCCTTACTTTTGTCCTACTTCTCTGATGTTTAAAAGCTGGGTCGAATTTTGGGGACATACAGGCTCTTTTGGGGGGGCTACACAAATATAAGAAAGATAGTGTTTGTGTTCTGAAGTAGCTAAGAAGAGATGTTAAAGATATAAGATGACAGTGCCATTTAAAAAATAAAAGTGTTTTACAATATTAGAGACGGTACTTGACCCCTGAATTATCTGTACGGATTAAATTGGCACAGACCCATTGCCAATCTTTATATTATACTCTATTAAACTATACACAGCACATGTATAGTCACTGATAGTGAGGACTCATAGAAATAAAACAATGTTCCCTTTGTAATCATTGTCAAGAATCAGGTCATATTCAACAAGCAGATGTGGAGGAGAGGGATGAGGCTGGGTCTGCAGACAGACGCTCGGTCACTGTCCACATTAGGGTGAGCTCTTCACTCACCCCATAGCTCCATCAGTCGCTCTGAGCACTCATCTTAATCTTATGTGACAGGCTAATCTAAACCTTAAGTTAGATAGTTCATTTATGGTATAGCAAACATCTGCCTTCTGGTTATTGAAATGTCTTTCACACACTTGGTAGTACTGCACTGTTGCCTTGTCTTGCTAGCTATTTGTAATTGTTGTGGAATAAACGACATACATGAAACTACAAATGTAAGACATGACAAGGACAGCTAACCACAGCTGAATATGATAGCTGCCTGTGTGTCCAGTTACCAGTCCAGTTTGGGTCCAACATGCAGACAGGCCTTGAGGAAAGACTTAAAGAATACGCTCCCCATATACACAGGAAGGAGATGCTTGTTAAACACATTCATTTATTTTTGCTGCTCTCATTATTTTATAACATCGGATCATAAAGCTCAACAGGAAGCTGTTCACACCATCAGAATATCATCTTTACAAAGTGATCATTTATCAAAGTTGTTACAGCGAACAAGCTTTCACTTACTCCAGGTGGTTTTAAATGGGCTTTGGGTCATTTCCAAAAGTGAAGTGTTGCAGGGGCTGCTTGGTTTTTGTGGCCCTGGCACCAGGCTGATATGAGGCTTACTGAGAGACATTTAGTACCTGCTAACTATTGATCCTAACCCAGGACAGAAAACTGACCTCAGAAAATATCTAAAGAGCTTGTTAGCCTGGAGAGCTTTTCCCCCTCTTCAGAAACTCGTATTTAAATGAAATGATAAACCATTCTGAGAACAAATACCAGAGGGAGTAAACCAGTACAGAAAACAGGAAAGAAGCTTCCGCTCACTCTCATGTTCACCGAACTAGTGTGTCAGTGGTTAGCTAGCGAGCTGCACTAGTTTAGCAACAAGCCTTGCTACTGTAGTCACTTGGCCTCGCCACTTCCTGCTGCGCCAGGCTTATCACGGGCTTATTCTGACGTTAACACTAAATAAGATAAATGAAAACAAATTGAAGCACTATCATCGTCACATGGTTCTTTGGTTGACGGAAATAGAGGGTGACCGGAAATACTGGTGGTCCCTCTGCCCACAGGTGATTATGCATATATCAAATACACCTCCCACATTTAGGTTTATTGTATGTAATAGGTTGGAATGGAGCAAGCATATGTTTAATCTTAAATAAACTTAATACAAGAGACATCTTTGTGACAGCCATCCCTTTGCCAATTTAATTGCATTTCATAAGCCCAAGGACATACATGTTCTATACGAGTCTTTTCTCAATGCAGACTGTGCTCATGAATAACAATGTGAAGCAGACAGATTCTGAGCGGACACAGATGTGGTGTTACAAAAAGGGAATGCACTTGTGTGTTTATAAGGACTTTCTGATTGCCAAATAGCAACACACACACGCACAAGGAATGGAAGAGTAGAGAGGGGGCGATGGAGAGAGGGCCAGATACAAGTGTTTTAACACTTTAACACAACAACCTGAGACTAGTGTGGGGGAGTCATAAGGGTGACAGAGGGAGTGAAAAGGAAAGGGAGAGAGATGGAGAGATCAACAAACGTATATGTAGAGGAGAGAAATAGTGCAACAGAGATAAGTAAAGCCAGAGACCTCTCTCAGCATGGCAGAGAGGAGGGGGGAGAGAAGGTAGAAGAGGAGGAGAGGAAACTGGTAATAAGGGGGAGAAGAGGACAAAGAGGTGAGATAGCAAAATAGAGGAAGAATTGAGACAGAAGAGCAGTAGTGCTTTCATGAGTATGGCTGTGGAACTCCATATCCTGGTCTGTAGATGGGTCTCCCTGTGGGGGACTGAGAATTGGAATACGGGGGCCCGGCGGGGTAGCTGTAGCCCCCATAGCTGTAGGAGGCCGGGTAGGGTGCGGGGCCACCATGAGAGTGGCTGGGGGTGTACTGGCCAAATGCTGAGCCTGGGTGTGGGGCAGGGAAGGAGGGCTGGGTGGGGTAAGGGCAAGCAGCTGGATCCGGAGGCCCAAATGCAGGCCTGGGGCCAGAGAAGCTCCCCGCAGGGGTGAAAGGTGAACCAGAACCTGGGTACGGAGGGAACTGTGATGGGGGGTTGGCTGGGCCGGAGCCTGATGCTGCCGCAGGGGGAGGGTTGGGTTGGGAGACAGGGTAGGGGCTGTAGGGGAGGCCAGCAGCGCCCCCTGCAGACGAGGAGGCAGGCTGCGAGGCGTTCTGGTAGCTGGAGGACTGAGGTTTGGAGTTTGGCTGCTGCGGATTTGATGTTGTTGCCGTAGTTGTCTGTTGATTCCATGGGGAAGGTTTGGCAACGGGGTCTTGGCTGATGCCTATTGAGGAGGTCATGGCGTTGGGATTGCCATCGCTCCTCTGTCGTAGGATCTCCTGGAGTTTCTCTATCCGCACCCGTCTTTTGTGAGCGAGGGAGCGCAGGGAGAGAAAGCGATCCAGGAAGCAGTCCAATGGCAGAGAGCCCTCCAGAAACTCATCAGCTAGAGCCTGCACACAGACGGACAACAAGGGACAGAAACGCTTACTGCTAAGCAGCTAATCCGAGTAACAAGTACTGAACTCCCCCCCAAACAAGTTCTCAAAAACTCCTCCCCCCACCCAGGAACTTCTCAGTTTGTCTCCTGACGGTCTAACAGGCTGCTCACACAGCAAGAGGCTGCCAGTGAGAGAGGTTCCATGTCCTCTCTACTTTCTGGCAGAGGTGGGAGTAAGTCCTACATGTGCAAGTCATGAGCAAGTCTCAAGTCTTGACCTACAAGTATCAAGCAAGTCCCAAGTCACTGTGGTGAGAGTCAAGCAAGTCAAGTCAAGTCATTGCTCAGGTCAAGTCAAGTCAAGTCAAGTCATACGAAATTCTGATGAATAAGCCCAGTTTCCGCATTTAAATTAGTTAAAAGACAGTGGTTATGAAAATGGATTTAACTATAACTATTTAACACTATGATCTTCATTACATACACAGTTAATCATTTGAAATCTAATTTAGACCGAAGACAATCATATTAGATTCATATTAACCGTAGAACTGCAGACAATATAGCTAGGACTTCAGTCAAAGAGTCTGTGTCAAAAAGGCAGAATTCCAGGTAAGAAAATCAGATATGGCATTTGCCATTACACATATTTAATTTAAATGTCTGTTAACACTAGAACCGCCAACAGCATCAGCACCTACCTAGATATCATTTTCAAATCATTTTAATTTGTTCCTCTCATAATTTCACTTATAAACTAAGTAGGACGATTTAAAACTCACTTTAATTTTGAAATTGCTTCAGTTTATCATCATAACGATCAAAAAGTTCAGATTCATTTTACAATAATCAAGGAATGATGCACTTCTACAAACAAAAACAACATCATTAAAACATTTAAATCAAACTACTAAAAGTAGATGAACTACATTATTCAAAAGTTACAGTACCTTCTGATAACACAGGGGAATTCTCTCTCTCTCTCGAGAGTAGAAGAGAGAGAGAACGAGAAAGATAGAAGCAGACCGCACCCTGAGAGAGACGAAGAGAACGACTCGGAGAAGCCAGCAGATCGGTAAGACGAACGATAGAAGAGAGAGGAGAGAGAGAGCGAGAGAGAGAGAGAGAGAGAGAGAGAGAGAGAGAGAGAGAGAGGAGAGAGAGAGAGAGAGAGAGAGAGAGAGAGAGAGAGAGAGAGAGAGAGAGAGAGAGCGAGAGAGAGAAGAGAGAAGAGAGAGAAGAGAGAAGAGAGAGAGAGAGAGAGAGAGAGAGAGAGAGAGAGAGAGAGAGAGAGAGGAGAGAGAGCGAGAGGAGAGAGAGAGAGAGAGAGAGAAGAAGAGAGAGGGGAGGAGAGAGAGAGAGAGAGAGCGAGCGAGAGAGAAGATAGAGAGAGATAGAGAGAGAGCTCGCTCTATCTCTCTCTATCTATCTCTCTCTATACTCTTCTCTCTTATCTCTCTCTCTCTCTCTCTCTCTCTCTCTCTCTCTCTCTCTCTCTCTCTCTCATATCGGGGTTAGTACAAATGAATCCCTTGGTGGTTCTAGTGTTCATTTACCGTTTTGTCTTCTCTTTGCAATGCTTAATCGATTTGAAACCAAGTCTAACGTAACTTAACGTTAGCTTTCTAGCTAACACAACACATTCACGCACCTTTCTCTGAGTTTTTTTTTGTAGTGACGAATGAAGTTGGATGTTGTGGTGGTCGTGTCACTGATCTTTATGCTGCAGACCCTGCATACCGCTGTTCTCTTCTTATTAGCGTCATCGACAACATAATCCTTGAATCCAAACTTCACTATTTGTGGAGTAACGCTAGCCGCTGCCATGTTAACTGACGCTCCTGCCGTCTAGTGGGTTGGGTTGCCAGGTTTGCGCGCACGGCGCTATAATCACCCAATCACGTTTTTCGAAAACACTAAACGTAATATCTCACTACAAAAACAAACGCAAATATTTAATTTTAAACAGTCAAGTCCTTTCAAGTCATCTGTCTCAAGCTTAAGTCAAGTCTCAAGTCATGAATACCAAGTCAAAGTCAAGTCAAGTCTTTTATCAATGTTAGTCAAGCAAGTCTCAAGTCAAAAAATATGCGACTCGAGTCTGACTCGAGTCAAGTCATGTGACTCGAGTCCCCACCTCTGCTTTCTGGTCTTAATGCTCAGAGGAACAGTGTGTACCCCTGTGTTCCTGTGGTGGACTGGGTTCTCCTTAGTACATTCATGTGGATAGAGGACCTTAATAATGATCAGTGTGTTCATTGTTCTAATAAAACTGTTTCAACTTTGCATACTATAATAAAACACAGTAAACTGTTTGTTACTGGGGGAAACTAACTGTGGGTGAGGAAATAAACAACTTACTGTTGCATATTAGGGCGTTTGTGTCAGAAAACAACTGTCTGGCAGGAGCAGGGCATGTAAATGATGATGTGCAACATACTGCAGGGCTACAGCTTCATCAGACACTGCCTACTATCTGTATTTGTACGTGTGAATAAAACAGGACTGACATTACCCTTGTGAAGAAAACATAGCCCTCACATTTACATTGAGATGTGGTGCAGGGAATAAATGTGTGTGTGTTTGTGTGTGTGTGTACCTCGGACTCTGCTTCTGATTTGCTGCCCTCTGTCTGCAGTCTGGAGAACAGAGCCTCTGGGGACAACTGACCCACCATCCCATCTGAGGAGGAGACAGAGAGAGACGCAGGTTATAAGATGTATTTTCAAATTCTGTTTTCTTTTTAACATTTTCTAGAAAAAAGCTTGGGGTGCCACTTGATTTAAAATATGCTGCAAAGCTTATTTAAATGTCTTTCCCAATCACGGCCAAAGTAGAATGGCCCCCTCGCAAGCTTTAAGTGATCTATTATTGAGTTGTTCTGGCTCGTTTATGGGCTTAGATTTGTCTCATAAATATTTGTGTGAACATAAAAATCATTTGTGTGTAAATATGTGATTTGTAAATGTAAAACACCATCCACAAATGCATTTAAAAGATTTGCAAACTCACAAATAAATTTGCAAATGTAAAACGGATCTGCAAATACGCAAAATAAAAAAAAAAGATCTGTGAATACTATCATTAATTTACAAATAAACAAAAGGTATTTGTGAATATCTCTTTAACATTGACAACTTTCGATCAGGCATTTGTGAATCCATTTTGTATTTGTCAACCAAGAATGCGCTGTGTGGGAAAAGGTGGAAAACAAGTATAAACATAATACAATTAAATACAAATAAAAGCAATACACGGGAAGTGTATACACAAAGTATACACAATGAATATTACAACATTTAATGTAGCCTTACTGTGAAGGCTAACTTAAATACGGTGCTTTTCTACAGATTACCTTACCACTGCACTGGTAAGGTAAAACTAGGCCGATTAATAAAATGTGAAGTGCTTTGTAACTGTATCACTATAACATGATGGTGATAAAGAATGCACCTAACGTATTGCTGTTCATTATTGTAATACAAAAACGGCGCAATAACCCTCGAGTATTTTTTAGATGTCTCCTTAAATCACCTTTTAAAATGTTATACATGGCACCCCGTGTGTTACATATCAAAGCCTTCAGGACAGTCTCTGTTCTTGGTATAAAGTCACTCACCTTAGAGCACTGTGTTATGAGATAATTAGCTCTAAAGCTGAACATTTGACATCTGATTGTTTTGAAATCTTCAAAACTCTTGTGAAAACACAGACTTACTCATGTCATCCATTTTTCTGGTGTTTTAGATTTGGTTTACCAAAGTCTTAGGTTCACAAAAGTAGTGTAATATATGACTAACACTGTATATACATTTGTAATTCATGTCTAAAATGAAAATGTTTAAATTAGATAAAATAGTTGTTTATCAATCTACTTTCCCCACAGGACTGAGATACATCAGGACTGAATGACTTCATATGACATACCAAGGTTGTGTGATGTGTACAAATACAAATTCAGCATTAGAACTCTTTTTCAACCAACAATTTATTATAAATATGTTTTCTTCAACCAACTATATATATATTTACAATATCAGAACTTTTTCAACCAACTACTCATTATAAATGAAAAGACAGGGGGAGCAGTGGCAGGGTCTGTGTCCATCTTCCAAGACAGTGGGGCTGGCTGCTGTGCAGGTGGGGGTGATGGTGCAGGGCTGCTGGTGGCTGTGTTGGAGGGAGGTACGTTTGATTGTCCCGGGTTGATGCTGGTGGCTGTGTGGAAGGTACGTGTACTCTACGAGACCACCTTACTGGCCGGGTTGATGGTGGTGGCTGTGTGGGGGGTACGTGTGTTCTAAGAGACCTCCTTGCTGGCTGAGTTGATGCTGGTGGCTGTGGTGGAGGCCTTTGTGCCGAGGTGTATCTTGACCTGGTGGCAGGCACAGATGGAGGTGGAGGCAGCTGTAGTGATGCTGGTCCTTGGTGGTGATGGCTCTGGTGAAGGCCCTTGAGCCACAGTGTATCTTGACCTGGTGGCAGGCACAGCTGGAGGTTCTGGCTCCTGGATATACGCCTATGTGAAACCTCTCTGTAAAACAAATTAAAATGTAGGACAATAATTACTACTAAGTTCATTGAAATAAAGTTCAAGTGGCATGTTGCTTAAGCGCGCTTAAACACACACACACACACACACACACACACACACACACACACACACACACACACCACACACACACACACACACACATCACACACACACACACACACACACACACACACACACACACACACACACACACACACACCACACACACACACACACACACACACACACACACACACACACACACACACACACACACACACACACACACACACACACACACACACACACACACACACACCCACACACACACACACACACACACACACACACACACACACACACACACACACACACACACACACACACACACACACACACACACACACACACACACACACACACAGTAAATGTCTCCGTTGTGGGACGAAAAAACGATAATTTTTTCATCTACACATGTAACCTCACTTTTACACATCAAAATAACTTTTACACATAAAAAACGATAACACAGAGTAAAAGTTTATTATTTGAGTCTATTTTGTCCCAAGAAAAAGTTCAATAAACCTATTGTTCATTTTTGCGGTATTCCACACAAAGTGAAAGTACACTATTACTGTAATATTTACACTTACCCATGTCCAAATGGATCCTTGTTGTCCCTGTATTCTTCTTCTTCTTCAGAAGAGTCGAAGCCTTCTGGTTCTGATGCTCCATTTTTACGAGTGCTAGCGAAAATAATCTCTAGCGCGTCCGTAACCGTTATGTTTTTTTTAGCCATTTTCTCAGTCTTTCTCTTGTTTCCTCACATACGTTAACTGATGGGAGACACGTGGTTTATGTATTTTTCTTGGTCGGTAGGTCCTTAGTGATTTCTTGAGTGTCCATTTGTCATTTCAGACCAACATAGCTGCAGCTGCCCCGGCCGAGATTTACTTGACCGACATACGATACAACCAAATCCCACACAGTGTAACGCAAAGTCAAGCTGCTTTGAGTGGCCTTATTGGCTGCTGTGAGTTGGGTAAAGTCTCACAATAGGTACCGCTGGAAAGCTACAGATCCAGCGATTCGGTGGTTATCTGCATGATATTTGTACTCCTTATAATCGGAAAGATCTGAATAAATACGTAGAATATGCGCACTTCGACACGGCGCTGCGAGCGTCGACTCCAGAGGGAAGCCATCATGCTCTTACTTTGAAACCTTGAAATGCGGAAATGTCGTCATCAGCAGGCCATCACGTGGTTTCCGAAAATAACCGAGTGACACGAGCAGATTTCGGTCGAGACCGGTGGAAAGTTTGTCTCAAAACTCTGTGTGTAAAAAGACGATCCACAAGCAGAGATTTGAGATCCACAAGCACATTTTTGGTTGACAAATACAAAATGGATTCACGAATGCCTGATCGAAAGTTGTCAATGTTAAAGAGATATTCACAAATTCCTTTTGTTTATTTGTAAATTAATTATAGTATTCACAGATCTTTTTTTCATTTGTGAAAATATTTTGCGTATTTGCAGATCCGTTTTACATTTCCAAATGTATTTGTGAGTTTGCAAATATTTTAAAGGAGAGGTGTCATGGCCATTTCCACTGATCATAATTCCATTGTTGAGGTCTACTAGAATAGATTTATATTGTGCATTTCTCCAAACTCACATTGGTTTCTCATACAGCATCTCTGTAAACTACGTGTATTCACTGAATTTCACTCTCTGCCTTTAACGGCTCGTTGGAGCTCCAATAGCTCCAGCCCCCACCCTCCCTGTGAGCACAGTGTGCTCTGATTGGTCGGGACGTTGTGAATCGCGCTGAGCTCCGTGGAGGTGTTGTTTCCTTGTTTAGGATACACAGCCAACACAGGCAAACTCATCCTGAGCACACACAAACTCACAGCCGAAGTAAAAACAATAAGTGTGGCTTGATATTGAGTAAGAAAAAGGTTGATAAACTCTGTGAGAATGGGTCTGCAGAGAGAATGGGTCTGCAGAGAGAATTTCGCCGCGATCCCCAACTGTCTGTTATCAGCCTGCAGCCAGGGAGGAGAAATCAGCTGAGCTGCCTGCTCCCTGCACACAGATGTGTGTGTGAGGAAGTCCGTGGATTGGTCAATTTGGACCAATCAGCAGGGGCTTAACGTAACGGCTCCGCGGACGTAACGTAACGGCTCCACGGATTGGTCCATTTCGTTCCGGGTACGGCTTGACATCATGCCGTACCCGGAACGAAATGGAAGAATCAAATGGACAATGACGTATCTCCAACGAGGCGTTTTGGGGAGGTCTTTTCTGTGTTAGAGTTTTACTCGCTACAGGGTGTACTTTGAGGGTTTGTGACTCTGCACACCGTTTACATGCATAAAACCTTCATAACACACAAGGGGATGGGTAATAACCGGAAAAAGCATGACACCTCTCCTTTAAATGCATTTGTGGATGGTGTTCTACATTTACAAATCACATATTTGCACACAAATTATTTTTATGTTCACACAAATATTTATGAGACAAATCTAAGCCCATACTCGTTGGTCGACTCGTTCATTGTGTGCAGCTCTGGAGGGAACAGCATAAGACAACCTCAGTCCTCTGATCGTTGACAGGGAAACGCTCCCCACAACCCCCCGATTGGTGGTGGAACAAGAGAAGAAAGCTCAGGGCGAGCAGCAGAGGGAGGGCCCTGGCCTGGGACACACACACAAGCATCATCCTAAGAACTTATTAAGCTCCGCCCTTGTAAACACAAGCGAGGCATGTGAGAACAGAGGAGTCCTCAGGTCTGACATGGATATCGTTCACTTTTAAAAACATGCACCGCCTTATCATAGACTGTATATGCAAAGGGCTTAACTGTTAATATTAGATGTTAATTGAAATGTATTAATCTATCTCTCAATGTCTATATTACATATTTACAGATGTAGCACTCTAGAAAGGACTCCAGCCAACAGCTTCCTGCCAAAGACCCAAGGGATCCCAGCGGCTGGGAATGTTAAGCCCTCCCACTATTTTCCAAGAGGGCGTTGCCAGATTTCCAATTTCAGGATTTAACCATGAGATGGCGCTTCATTCACAAATACAGAAAGACAAGTTTCATGGACTTTCAGTACTTCAGTTGTGTTTTGGTG